CCCCCCCCAAGCACAAAGTTTACAGGTCTATGGCAATACTCTTAACCTAAGAACCGAAAGGGTGAGGAAACAAGTAGACACATGGGCTGTTAAAAGTATTGAAGGACAATACTGCTAATTATGCAGCAAAACATAAACAGATTATAAACATCAGAGCCATTTGTTTTTCTGCTTACATTTCCGATACATTCAGATAACAGATTTCTTAAAATGAAGTACATACATATTATGTACTGACTTATTTATGCACATGCTCGGATATGTAGACATCCTCCGTATATTTACATAACACATAGAGGTAATAGGTAGGTGGTATACATTCTGCATTTGCAAGAGTTGCCTGACCAACAAGTTACAGAGACACCCCCTCCTTGTCCTCTCCCCCCACAGAGAGCCCTGGGAATCAATTCCTCAAGAATTGCCATTCTCATTAACTCTGCTCCTTGCTTTGCAGAGTGCCATGGTCATGTCATTCTGAGGTCACGTAACATGTATAAAATTAGCTTCAATGTATCTATACCATTTAAAGAATATTTTTCTCCAGAAAAAAAAAGGGAATATTACAATGTTGGAGGAGAGATGTTATAGGGAGCCGTATTTCAAAATTTGGTTCCAGATTCCAAAATCCAGTTGATTGTGGTAATTTTAATTATTGTCATCGTGTGCTTGTTCATGCAGTGTTGATGCACTTTTCACAGTTGGACATGGTGTTAGCATAGTCAGGCGGGTTTCAATATTCCTCTTTGCTTCCTCAATGTTAATTTATTGCATGGTTTTTTTCTTTCTTTACAGTCAAAATTGCTTTAAATGATGGTTTAAAATACAAATTAAAATGTTAATTTTTATCAATGTGATTGTAATTAATTTGATTTAAATAACAAAAATAATAAATTTTAAGCCGTGGAATATGTTCTTGATCATTTGCAGTTAAGGACTTTAAATAAATCAAATGTTAACCCAAAAAAAAAAAAAAAAGATTTTTGTTATTTTCATTAATTAAATCCAAAATAGATAATCTGAATATGGTACTTTTCAAAGTCTGGCGCTGAATATAAATAACAAAAAGTAAAATAATCTAAAACAGAATTGTTTTGTTTATGTTTATTATAGGAACATGTAGTTAGTAAAAAAAAAAAAAAAAAAAGGTTAAAGAAATTCAGTAAAACTGGATAGATAAATTGAAATAATATCCCAAGAATTGAGATTAAGATTCTTTATTCCAAGTAATGTTTACTTCAGTTTTTGACATGGGCTTAAGCCTACTATGTTTCCTTTGAGCCTTTCCACGCTGAAATCAAATACTATTAAACTACCTTTCCCCCTTTCCCAATATATCATTTTCCTTTATCTGAGAAGAATTTGAATGAGAATAAAATATCAGATGTGGCTGTTAAAATTAAGTTGTCTACAACAGAGAATCCTGAACCCTCTTTACATTGAAAGAGAAACAAAACATAACCATCCTGGTCACGTTGGGGAGGGGGGGACAAGGGAGACCAGTTAATTCACTCCTGCAGGGAAAGCTTTGTGCCAGCAGGACATTTCACTAGCTCCTATTCTGAGTTGTGTGAATATATTTTTAAAATATTGTTTCTAAAAATATCGTTCCAGAGAACTTAAAGCTGATGATCTGTTTGCCTTCTAAGAAGCTTTTAAATGCAACTTCACACCCCTACAGTTGCTTGAGATCACAAAATCATTAATCTCCTTTGATAGTAGGCTCACTTTCCAGTCCACCTATTTCTTTGTAAGTCTTGGTAGGATTGACACCAACAATAACACCAGCAGCCCGGGCAGAGGCTGGCCTGCCTGAGCCCTGCTGTATGAACTCCGTCCTGCCGGGGCTTGAACTTGGACAGCCCTTACTTTGATCGCCCCACTCCACACCCCGGACAAGATAAAAAGAGCTGTGTGAGTCCCTTAATTGTCGCGTAATTGCCTCCCCAGATGAGAGAAGGGGTGCCATGTAGCACTTGAGAAAAATCCAGAAATCCCAAACCCCCACTCTCACCTCCGCTAATGAAAGGAGGAGAGGGAAATGACTGGTTTGAGTAATTTCAAGGCCTAATTTGGAGGCCTGGGAAAGACACTAAAGGTCCAAAGAGGATAACGCTTTCAATCCCGACATTTATTTACGTTGAGATAGCGGGTAAACAAACGCTGGGAAATTTGAATTACAAATGTACCATCGGGCGCGAGCCTGGGCCTCGGAATTTCCCGCGGCCGCGGCGGACCTCCCGCGCCTTCCGAGCGGTGCCCCCGCGTCGCTCGCTCTAACGAGCGACCTCAGCGTCCTGCCTTCGCGCAGCAGGCTCCTCCGCCTTCGCTCCCGCGCTCTCACTCCGCGGACACTTTCTGTGGGCTTTCGGGGCCGAGGAGCCTCGGGGTACGGCCCACGCCCGCTCCGCAGACCTGCCTGAGGAGCTAGAGCGGTGGACGGCGGCGCGGGGAGGGGGCCGGCCTCGCCTCGGGGGCCTCTCCCCTGGTTTTCTGCCGCCGCTGGGCGTCTTCCGCGCGCCCGGCCGCCCCTGGGCGCTGCCGTCT